TCAGGCATTGTGTGGAGCAGCATTGGTTGTCTTTAAAAGGACAGAGCCAACCTAACATTCACAATCATTGCAATGCTACAGAGAATGCCTAGAAATGTGCATCCACCAAGTTAACTTCACAAAGGGTTGTGACATGCAACAGTGCTTCCTCTAAAGATCTCAATTTTTGGCAGGTTCATAATAAAGGGGTGGTCTTTTAGATATTATGACTTAAAATGATCTAGGGTCAAAATCAGCATCTTGAATTGAGTTCCAGGCAAATTGAAAACCAAGGTAGTTCTTTCAGGACCAGTGTTACATGGTTACCAAAATGACACCATTTTGGCTACATTATTTTACATAAGCTGCAGCTTACTAATGTTTTTCAAAGGCAGCCCCATGTGGAGTGCATTAAAATAATCTAATTAAGAGGTAATTAGGGCATGAATCACTGTGGCCAAATTTGCCTTCCCCAAGGAAGGGCACACCTGGCATACCAGCTGAAGTTATGCAAAGGCACTCCTGGCCACTGCAGCATAGCTTTCCAGGAGCCGTACTGGGTCCAAGATCACCCCAAGCTATGAACTTGTTCTTTCAAAGAAAGAGCAACCCTACCCAGAAAAGGCTGCGAGCCCAATCTCAGGTTGGATTACTTACTGACTGGCAGCATAAAACTAGAGCAAGCACTATGGAAACATCTTTCCTTGAAGAGGTATGGATAAGAAACATATTGATCTTTTCCTAAACTGGGAAGCAGTTACATGTACACATATATAGTACTCTGTCAGTTATCCATGATTAGAGGTATGCCTCAGATAATCAAGTCTCTGAGATGGAAACTTTTTTATAGTGTCTTTTTATGCTTGCCCAGTCTCTCTGTTTCTCTGTGTCCTTACCATCACCATTGATGTGATGGTGAAGAACTGGCAAAACACAAACTTTCACAATCAAGGAAATGCTACAGAGAAAGCCCAGGAATGTGCTTTTGGTATTTTGTTGCAGAAGCATGCCTCTGTCTTTGGAATCTCTTGTTGAGTATGTGTGAACAACAAAGAGAGAGACAATGGATAAGTTTCGCCAGTGTCTCCCCAATCCCAGCATGTTTAAGAAGCATAGATCTATAAATTTGGCCACTGGAATAGAAATTATTAGAAAAGGATTGACTAGTGAATTAAAAAATCATTTCTGGATCAATGTTTTTGTTTATTCAGGCTTCTTTGACCTGGTTGTTTCATTACTTGTTCATATGTGAATAAAAAGTTTGCTAAAACATATTCAAATTGTTTTCCTTTTTGTGCTGTATGAACCATAATCCCTCTCCTTTCCATTTTATTTCTGCCTCTTTAATACCAAAGGGATTTTTTTTTTTTTAAAAAAAGAGTGATAATGCTCTGAAACACATCTGCTCTGACAGCTGACATATACCTGTACTGGATACTGTGCCATACCATTATTTTGGTGATTTTAGTGTAGCTGGAACAGCATGCATCAATGTGTAAGGACACAAAGGGATATGGGAGGAGGGATAAAAGCCTAATTTAGCATAAAATCCATAAGGGTTCCAAGGTAACATTTTTTGTAATTATTGGTTACAGAAAAGCATACTGCAATAAATGTGTTTGAGTATTTATCTTGAGTGTATGCACTTTCAGCACTGATGCTGAAAGGGATGGTTTTTTTAAAAAAAGAATCTCATTATTTCTTCCAAATGTACAATTCACTTTGACATAATTTATGTCAATTATGTGTTCCTGTTTTAGAATCTAAGGTGAAATTCAGAAATGTACTCTTTCTCTCATCTCCCTTATATTACAGGAAATATTTAATGGGTTGAATGAATTTAGTACTGAATTTACTAAATCCTATGGCACATCAGCAATGTGGTCATGGCCCCTGTGGATAATCTTTCCTGGCTTCATAAATCATGGTTGATGGAGTCAGCGTAGAGCACTTCCAAAGCCTGGAAGTAATTTGTTATAGTAATAATGGCTACCTGTAATGGATTACTTTCTGAGAGCAGCAACATTGTTTTTTTGTTTTTTAAAAACCCCCAGTGGGTTTTTGAGCTGCTGTGTAAAGTGTTTATTGTATATGTTGAAATGTGAACTATCGAAGGCTACTCATTTGTGGGGTATGAAGAGGAGCGTTCCCTTTTTCCCTCTTGGAAGGTTCTCTTTCTAGTTTTCTTTCTTTTTTTTTTTAAAGCTCTTTAGCCTTGAGCTGCAGAGTGGTGCCAAATTCTGTTGTTTGCTTTGATGTTCCCATGTGTCTACCAAATGGCCACATCAGCTATGATAGGTGAAAGTGTGGGACTCATGTGGTCTTCCAGTTGTTGAACTTCAAGTTCCGGTGGCCCTAGCCACCAAAATCAGTGGTGAGGAATATTAGGACTTGTCATTCATTAGTATCTGGGAGAAAATGTGATGTTTAGAGGAAATACCATTATCCAGTGTTGCTGTATGGCACAGAACCCTTGCTTAACTATTTAGAAATTGGATGAAGGATGTGTGGCCACTTCCTATATTGTAAAGATAAAGAGCATGATTAAAGCATCACTAACAAATGGCATACTACATTATGTTTCTCCCACCCTAATGTGTGAATGTTGACACATCTGTTTTCAAGACTATATATACTTCAGGTTTTGAGCCCTTTTTCCTTTTCATTCCTTTCTACTGTCTGGCCAACCTTCAATACTTCACTTCTGTTATTATTGACCACTCAATTTCAGTATCTGTTATCAAAATGATAGGAAAATTTGGAGAGACAATGACTTTATTCAATGCCTTTTGGCAATTATGGTTCTTATAATTTGGAAAGAATGATGGAATGTATAGTTGAAAATAGTCAGAGCTTAATTTGAGATTGAATCAAATTCAACACAAACTTGTCTTCTTGTCCATGAATCCTGTATAAATAAAATATATAAGAAATTTGTCATCTACAATTTTGCTAAACTTTAAAAGGTTCTTAATCTTCCAATCTGGAACCATTCAAATATAGGGTCTTATGCAAATGACTTTGACTTTTCCTCCCCCTCCTTTCTCCAGGGAACAATTTCCAAAGTGTCTTGGTACAACCTGAAGAATAGTTGGTTATGATTTTCTCTGTGTATTGATTGTCTCCCCTTCATGTTTGTAAGGGGTGTGGCAGAAGAATGTGTAAAAGGCTTTCTGTTCTGCAATATAATTAAGTCATATTAGATGGCAATAATTATATTGGCTGGTTTTGATCCAAAGTTTCTATGCGTGGTCTCAGGACACCACTGCTGGAGGAATAGGGAGAGGCTGTTTCTGCTGGTTCTTCCTCTCCCTTAACCTTTGATGGCCTTGAAAATCTTTCCCAATGGACAGGGAGATTTGCTAAAACAGTTGAGGAGATGGTTAGGAGGGATGCGTGCTAAAAGGGAAATTAATAAGCATCTTTGAAACTTTTGGGCGTATGGTCTATCATCTTGGGCAGCTCCTTCAGATTGCTACTCAGATTCACTGACACCACACTCATCTCAGCCACCAGTAACCACACCCTCATCTTTTTACATTTGCTTCTGCAGTAGGGTTTTCTATTGGACAGCCATCTTTTCTGTGACAGGTCCTTTCAGTGTATGGAAGCATGCCTTTCTCCAAACAATTACATTTATATTATTGCCTTTTTTTGTCTAAGAACATTTTTTCTTGGAGTAATTGATATTTATTTTGGAGAAAATTGACAGAAACAGTATGATGAAACATTTTCCACCTTAGCTGGATAAAAAAAAACAAAAACACTTTCATTCATAGTCTCCAGAACTTTTCTGGGACTCCAATTTCTTTGAATAACCTTTTTCTGGCCTTGTCAAAGGCCAGACAGAGTAGGAAGTAGAACAATACAATTAGGTAACACAACTGTGTGACCCAGTGATTAGATGCTTATAAGTGAGTGGGTGTCCTTAAACACAGATTATGCTATCACTGCATATGGCTCGTTTGTACTGTACTGATGTTTATGAGCTGTGAATGGGCGTTGCTCATACAAAGATGAATGCAGATTAGCTTCCAAACAGAAACAGAGACCAGGTTGTATGAATTTGTTTTCCCCTGGGAGTTGGCTTAATTTCACAGATTTAGGGAAAAATAGATTGGAACTCTATGGTCTCAAGAACCCAGGTCTTTTTCCTCATGTATCTCAGGGGAGGAGCTGTGTGTATACAATAGCCAACATGATGTAGTGATTTAGGTGTTGTATTAAGACTGGGAGGCCAGCATTTGGATCTTCTCAACCTTGAGAACTCACTTAAAGGATTTGGGCAAATCACACTCTCACTTCAAAAAAGAAGTTAATCTGAAGAAATATTGTCAAGAAACCTCTAGGATAAGGCCACCATAAGTTGACTTGAAGGCATTTGTTAATAATGTAATTGGAGCCGCTTATGCTTAAGTAGTTCATTCATCATCAGTAGTGCACACCTATATCAGTTATTACACATCTCTACCTGCTGTGAAAGACTTACGTTGGAATAATGTTAAGAACATCTCTGCCTTGCCATAGCTTGGTGTCCTGTCTGTGCCTAATCAGACTATGGCAAAGATCAGACTGCTGTAATAAAAATGGATTTTCCTTTTGCATAATTTCATTTTAATCCCTTGGTGAAAACAATTACAGACACTGTTATGTTATGCAAATAAATATAACCAACAGCATTATTTGGTGTATTTTTTTTAAGAATTACAGATGCTGGAGGAATAGGCATTCATGAAAAATTAATTCTGATTTCCCTGCTCCTCTACGGAATAGCTTTGCTTAAAAAGTTTTTAAATTTCAAGTGCAGAACTTGGGGAAGAGGGTTGTGTATGACTATTGCTTCCAAAGGAAAATTGAAAACCTTTTTGTTTTCTACTTCCTAAATATACAGTTTCCATGTGGTCATGATTTCTGGATAGCAGTGCTAATGGGGAAGTTCCTACTAAGAATCCATTGTGCCTTGGTCTTAGACATCTGTATAGTGAACAGTTCGCTAACATATTGTCTTTCTTATTTTCCAGAGAGAAGGTATTATAGACCTTGTCCCAAGCCCAGTGGATTGAGCTTGTCATCTCACACAATGGCAACCCGACAGGTCAGCGAGACAGCCTTGACACCCCTGACAGAACAAGAGGGCGAGGCTTACCTTGAGAAATGTGGGAGCATCCGTCGCCACACTGTTGCCAATGCTCACTCGGATATCCAACTGTTGGCCATGGCTTCTATTATGCATTCAGGGATGGTGGTGGAAGAGCCAGACAATGGTGACAAGCGTCTTCTTTTGCAGCCCAGCTTAAATCACAGGCAATGCTCTAGTGAACCCAGTATAGCAGATGGGCCAGAAGGACTTGGGACACCACCCATGCAGGAATCTACAGAAGTGAACTGTACACCTGTCTGCTGAAATGCTACATACAGCAGAGAGACTTGTGGGCACTAAGCAAGTCAGTGATTACTGCCAACATTGGGCAATTCAGACTTTAGGAATGGAATTAGCATACAATGTCCAGGGTGGGCATAGTTTTATAAATTGTCTACTCAGATTGAAGTTTTATGTTGCTTTTTTTTTTTTAACCAGAAAAGGTACAATGTTCAGTTTGAGCATTCCATCCTCATCTTTGTTTCCTTTTTGCTGGATCTTTTTAGGAGTTCATGAAGTCTACAAGAACTTTGTTCAGGTCTGTCACTTTGTAAGATGGTGATGATCTTTTTACATGAAGGACTGAGCAAATATAGGCACAGGAGAAGTGAAAATATGTGGCCCATCTCCAGAACTGAAGCTTCTCGAGCTATTAAGTGAAGTTCATTTCATTTATTCACTGCAACTAGGAGTGAAAGGTTCATATCCTATTTCTGTAACTTCATTTTAGGTTGTTTTAGTTTCAGGATGCACCTTCTCAGGGATCACTTATTTATATTCCAAAGAATTATCTGAGCATTTTAGATTACACAAGACTCAATTAGAAAAACAATTGCACACATCTTTAGGATTTAGTACCTTGGCTCCTTACCAGAGATAGCAAAAGAACAAACATCTGTGGTGTTAAATACCAAACATTGGGTTGTGTTTTGAAGACATTTCTACAAGTGAATAGCTGAAGTATAAAAGTGTCCACCTTGGAAATAAAATTGTACTCTGGAAGCAGCTTAAATGATAATTCAAGTGAAAGAAAGTTGGTTTTCTTTCTACAAAAATGTATTGGTATTGTTTATAGAGATCCGTAGACAGGTGAAGAGGTAGTTCAGTACCCCCTATGCAGAGGTAGTTCCCCTATGCAGCTCTTCCATGTCTAGCATTGAAAGTCTGGGGCTTATAATTTTTTTTGGTTTCTGCCACACAATTCTAGCACCACAATAAATGTGATAACATTCTCAGAACTAAGAGGTGCTGACGTTTGGATTTCAAGTTTCCCATTTCTATGAACATTTGTTTTGGGTCACACCAGAACTCTGCTTCCCAAGTACTTTTGGGTATTTGGACATGGAGGCTGGCCTTCCCAAAAATATGGATGGGGTGCAGTTCCTGTTGGTTTACAGGAATACAGATTTTTTTTAAAAATATTTTTTTTGTAATATTTGTTTTGTAACATGGTTCTGGTAAATTCTTTTACCATTTATTGGTAGCAAACGTTGATCTAAGGAATTGGGGTCAGACTTGAAAGATATTAAGAAAGAAGGTACAAAGATAAAAATCTGCTGTTGTGCATATATGCACATTTCTGCCTTGATGAATCTTGAATTGTCAAATGACTTCTACCAAAAGATCTGCAGAATAAAGTTGATATAGAGAGATGTATCTGTGGCCTGGCTATCGTGATTCTAAATTGGGATCCAAATGAAAGAATAACTAGACTGCATTTTCAGATGCAAGTCCTACTTGGATTACATATATCACTGGACAAAAACAGTGATCTTTTCCTTTATTTTCCCAACCAGTTGAGCAGTGGCTCTTCTGTGAATGTGTAGACAGAATTCACCCAAATATATTGTCCCATGAAATTACATCAAATCATGTTGATGGAGATTACTCTAGTCTACAGCAAAGGTTAATTTGTGCATGCTTTCCTCCAAAAACGTAACAGAAGGATCCAAGGCCCTAGGCAAAATTGTTTTTTTTTCTGTCTAGACTCAATGAATCAGTGTTGCCTTACTAAATTATCCGTGATGCTGTTGATGGACTTCAGATGGGATTAAAACTTGGAATTAGGCAAAAGACAGAAGGCAGTGGAATGTGATAGGAAAACTAACCCCTTCAATATAAAATCTTTTAGATAAACCTGCTTTTAAAAACTCAAAATCGGGGTTTGTTTTACACATTCACATGATGAAACAGCTTTGAAGAGGCTGGAAGACATAGTTTCAGCACATACTTGGTACACAGAATGTGTGCTGAAATAGCTTTTGGGAAATGATCTCTAACTAGAATTGGGCCTACCAGGTTACCTCCTCCCTGTGCAAGCAGGCAGAAAACACATGTTGACTCTTTCCATGCCCCATCTTGCTGTAGTTTGGCTGCAATCTTTGCTAGGCAAACACACAGGATGGGTACTCCCTTAAACCATTTCCAACAACCTCTAAAATGAGGTAGGAGTGATGTGACTCTCCAGATGTCATTAAACTGCAATTCTGTTTCCATTGACCATGCTGGATAGGTTTGCTAGGAGTTGCAATTCAAATCTGGAGGGCCACATGATTCTCATCCCTGCACGATTTGTAATGCACATTTCTTTTGAAGAGGCTTCCATTTCAAGTACTTCTTGTAAATGAGACTTTCACATCCTAGTTTGTATAAATGATGTAGCTTTTTGGTTGAAAACAAGTGTGGTTTTTCTTCAATAGTTGAAATAAGATGGTATCTATATGAATTTTTAATCTGGGCAGAGCTCAAATCCCTTACTAATAATGCTCTGTCATCACAAGTAGTGGCATGGGCTGCATTTGGAATCACTTTGGGGCATCAATTACTATCTTCTTTCTGGGTTTCTTCTCCGTGGCTTGGGGAGAAAATCAGATCTGGGTTACTGTCATTTGATCACACAGACAGAGAGCTCATGAATAATTTTGTGCAACTCTCAGGGAAGAATATGTATCAGTCCAAATATTGTTTTTAGTTTCTTGCTATGCCAATTCTAAATTTATAGAAAAGATTGGTCCAATTCATTTCCTGATGGTGGCATTCTTTTTTCTCATGGTGGAGAGAGCGCATGCCTTTACTACTTTGCAATTCTCCCTCAAATTTCCACCATCATTTTCCATGCCTTAGATAGAAAGCATGACAATGACGAGACTATTGTCTGATGTGGGGTTCCAGATATGTTGGGTAGAGAGCAGAAGGGACATTACACACATGGTTGAGCATGCTAGCAAATGTGTTGCCTTTTTCTCCCTCACAATCCTATTTGATCAGAAAACAAACTGCATGGATACCCTTATTCTGTATCTCTGACTATTCACTAAACACTGTTCAGTTATTTGCAAAACATCATGAATTAACACAAAAATTAACACATAAACATAGTTCTGTTGCTTTCTTTATATGGATGGTGGGCTTGACCAGACAAACATCTGCATTGATGATAAGCCTCAGGACTAAAAAGTGGTTTCTCAACTATCAACATACTTTTTAAAAATGGTGTAAAACATTTTGAACATTGTTATAGAAGTTCTCATGATCTTTAATAAAGCTTGAACTGATTCGGACTATTCATACAAAACCAACCTCATCTTATTTGCACTAGTATTGTGCACTTCAGAATGCTAGAAGAATAAGCTATTTACACCAAATGGGGTAGACAACCTAATGTCTTCCAGATATTTTGCACTATCTTCCAATCCGTTCCTTCATAGTCAATGCTGATAGACTATATAGGTGTTTTTCTCGAATATGAGGATGGTGCTAACTGCCCAACTCTGGGACATTTTCTGATTCAGATCTGCTTCAAGATAGCTCTGAACCAAAGGAGTAAATGTTCACAAGCAGGTCACTATATTTATACCCATGCTTTTGACAAAAAAGAGTCACAATAATATAGAATTGGGAAAAGGCTCCAAACCCAACACACATGGAATATACAGTACTAAAAAGAATAAAAAGTATTCACAAAACTTGTGTATTTTAATGATGTAGAGAATTATGCAAGCACTAGATCCAGGAAAGTAGTTCACAGCATTCCTCACAACTGGGTAGGCTTACCTGGCATGCATCACTGAAAAATGATCTAAAAGATTTAGTGCTAAACTTGATTACTTTATTTGAATCACAACCAATCTTTGCTTCCCATCAATAGTGGGGATTAAAATGGAAAGAGAACATGTTTAGGAGGTTGTTCACCATAGTCTTGGTACTTTGAAACACTCAGGTTTACAGGAGAAAAAAACCGAAAGGTCTCTTACCTCCTGGCACACCTTCCAATATAGGTTTTCACTTACACTAGTGCTTCTCATCTACTGGGAGGGCAAAACAGAAAACTTACATTCAAAAAACCTCCTCATTGGGGAACCTGATTTTAAAATCCATTTTGCATCATTCTTGCATCTCCTATAGAGATAAAGTGCTCTTGAAACGAAGGATTTACTCATGGTTACAAAATGAACAGCTGGGGAGGGGCAATGCCTCTGCCAAGTGCTTGGCTCAGACAACCAAATGTAGGTTGCATCTGGCAGATGTCTGTCTTAACAATTTCTGCAATGCTCCTGTCACGTTGCTAGGTTTTTACCACTTCTTTTTATAAAACTCAAACCACCATCTGCTCTGGTTTAAGTGCCTGTTAACAAGGTGAAGAGGTAGTGTTACTTGAGGGAACCCTGCAACATTCATAGACCATTTAAAGGTTGCTTCCTCATGCTTACAGATTTCCTCAATACCTGGATTTCCACTTAACATCTAGCACTGGGTTAAGATGTACAGTATTAATGTGAAAGAAAAACACTTAAATCTGACTACTTGCCACTTCTTTGCCAAGTGCTACAAGGGGGAATTTCATGGTTAGCACTGAGCATGAATTTAAATAGAGGACTTACCTAACACAATTTGAGGGTCAATTTCTTTGGAGCCGCTAAATTACCATCATGCAAAGCTTTTGAAATCCTCAAGTTTTCAGATGCTCCTTCTTTGAATTTAGTGGAATAGCACTGCCCCCTGCTGTTTTTTTTTAGAAAGTACTGTATATGCAGATACTGGAACCATGGTTAACATTTTTGTACTAAGAGTTCAACTCTGTGCCTAAAGCAACTGAGTACTCAGCATCAAGTTCAGTGTTACATGCATGCCTTCAGGCTAATGTTTTGAGAAGTCTATAATGTGTGTGATTATTTTCAGTAGTGTCTTTTTCATAGTTTGCCAGATTTTTTAAAAGTCACAACAGGTGATATCTTGTTTACACACATTTTTTTCCATCTGAAACATTTAACAGCCACTTGATCCAAGATTCTACATGACATATGCAGAGCATAATTCTTTGATGCACAGTTTCATGTCCACTCCACACCTTTGCAGTCCTTTAAGCCCAGAACCCTGTTATTTGTTCGTATTCATGAGGAGGCAATCTGGACAAGAAAGAAGCAGCTGGTCTAGGCTCACAAGATGGAGCACAGATAGAAGCCACTTGGTTCCTAGACCAACCACATCATCCTTGGTTGAATTTCTGCTGCTGGTTGGCAGCAGAAGCAATAGCTATCTCCAGGCTTTGGCAGCTGTTAGCAAAAAGTTTTGAATGAGAATAAAGCACTAAGGAATAGTTGTGTTCCATCCAGAATGCCAGAACTGCAGTGGCACAGTGGGTTAAACCCTTGCTACCGACTCCTTGCCTAGATTTGGTAATGTCAACACCAGTTGGAAAGCAGAGTGCAACCTGGAACAAACAAGTCATGTGATCCACAACCACCACCAATCCAGAAACCAAAAAGTGTAAGTATAATTCAGTTAACATAGCCTCTGATAAAGATGCATCCTTTTACAAAATCTTTTAAGATCAGCTCATCCTCTCCTTTATGTCATTGTCCTCTTTCTAGCTGGATTTTTTGTTTAAAGCAATATCAGTACTGCAAGAATTGTGGAACACTAGAGAAACCTACCCTTTCAGTGCTTCGACAAATATCTTTAAGTTTGGCCATCAAAATGAAAATTCTGAGAAAAACCGGTGAAAGCGAGTCATAGCTGAATGCATTTTATAAGAAACTTCCAAATGGCTTCCAGAAGATCTATACTGTTTTTAGTAGTAGTAATAATAAAAAAAACTGACCTGAACTGGTTGTTTCATCTCACATGTCTTTTTCTTATTAGCTTTGAATGAAATGTTCACTGAGCAGTTCTTCTTTTGTGGTGTTGAAATCCTATTCCTAGTTGTTCTAAGTTATTTCTGTCTCTGGTACCAATATTTCTGATGAAGTAGTAATGCCCAGGAACACAACTCCATTAACTGATGTGCCTGTATGAATATTGTCCTGAAAGAAAACAGTCATGTGCGAGGTTTATGTGACAAAAGCAGAATGTTATTTTTGTTAACTAATAGATTTATCTAAGTAACTATGTTGCCTAAGATAGTTCCTTCTCTATGGACTAATGATGTGATCTACATGAATGGCAGTGACATGGAATCACATGCTAACACATTTCTGCTATTGCTTCTCTGAATACGAATTTTATAGCCTACCTACAACAGCTATGACACATTTTAAAGCTCTACCCATGGAATTGTGGAGACTAAATACTTGAAAGCAATGGTTCCCAAGCTCTGGTTCTCTAGTGTTTTGGATTTCAATTACCAGTTAGCTTGTCCAATAATCAGGAATTCTGGGAGTTTAAGTTAAAAAACCCTGGAGAATCAGTTTGGGAACCAATGCTCTTAGAAGAAGAAACTAGTAAATCCACCTGTGAGTATTCCTTCCCTAAAAAAATCCTGAGAAAGTTTACAGGTGACTTGATAACATATACACACAGCCAGGGAGCCAGACATCATTGCCTCTTTACTAATATTCTAGGCAAGCATGGCTTTGTCTTTGAATTCATGTTCAGTTAGATTTTGTCTCAATTGTCTTCTGATCAAGAAAGCAGTAAATCAGTGATGCAAATCACATATTCAGCTGGTATTTTTTCTATTTCTTGTAAGACAGGCTTATGCTTCTTTCCCAACTCATTCATATTCAGAGAAGCTGGCTGGATAAACCCAAGGGACTTGCCAACTTCCAAGCTCTTACTAATTTCAGCACTTATTTATACATACAAGGAGGGTTTTCATTCAGCTAATTTATTGTCTACAATTTGCTGAGACTCACAAGCAGCTGGAAAACAAATAGCAGATTCACACTTTCTTCAAAGTCAGGCTTCACATGTACAACAATATAAATTATTAGTGGATCTATGGCCTCAGATAAGCTATAAGCCCACTTGTTGTTAAGCATTTAAACAGCCCCTTGATCAGCAACCTCTGGCTCTATAGATATCACTGAATTCTGAAATCCCATCAACCTCACCCTGCATGCCCAATAGTCTGGGATTATAGGAACTGAAATACAACAGTACTTTGAAGGCCACAGGTTTCCTTGCCTTGCATTTAAAGAGTTTTAAGCACTTTATAAAATAGTGAAGAGACATCACACTGGCAATGAATATCCGCATAGTAAAAGCAATGGTATTCCCTGCTGTAACCTATGGATGCGAGAGCTGGACCATAAGGAAGGCAGAGTGAAGGAAGATAAGATGCTTTTGAACTGTGGTGCTGGAGGAAAATTCTGAGCGTGCCTTGGACCGCAAGATCAAACAGTCCATACTCCAGGAAATAAAGCCTGACTGCCACAATACAGAGAATACCTTGCGGTTCATCAAGAGTTTGTAGACATTGAAGCTTCTTTGAACAGGAAAAACATTTCAAGATTGGTTTACTGTATGTGTACTGATGCCCATATATGAAGCCAGGAGGAAAATAAACTCTAGCTCCACAGTTCAGTAGCAGAGATGGAACTACAATGGGATAATTTCACTTGTGATGCTTGATCCAATAGAAAACTTGATACATCTGGGTCCCCAACTGTTGTGTGTTTTGTTCTTGTTTCCAACTGAACCTGTTACATCTCTGCTGCAGAATTTAGTAGTCAATGTGGTAAAGGTGAAAATGGATGAGTATGAGTGGAATATACATACATCTGGCTCCCTCTTCACATTTTCAAAATGAAACATCTAAGCCTCTTGGATGGATGGCATCCTTGAAGTGACTGGATTGACCTTGAAGGAGCTGTGGGTAGTTACAGCTGACAGGGAGCTCTGGCATGGGCTGGTCCATGAGGTCACGAAGAGTCGGAAACGACTGAACGAATGAACAACAAGCCTCTTTCACTCATTATGTGTATCAAACCAGCACACCAGGAGGAGAACATGCTGTCCCTGCACTCCCCACTCTTTGAAGAATCTGAACAAATGTGCGGACATTGTCTGTAGAACTGAGAACAACAACAAAACAAGAGCCCCACTTACAGAATTTTAGGGCCATCCAATCTAACTGCCCACCATGCAGGAACACACAATTAAAACACTCCCAACAGATAGCCACCCAACCTCTTTAAAAAACTTCTAAAGAGATTCCACCAAGATTGTTATATAGTGACGATCTCTGACTGAGACTCCACTGCTTTCCATGGGACGTGTGTAATGTAACTAGAGATGGAACCAGAATACTCTCATTTTTGTGTGATCAACATATTTAGATAATGTGTGAACAGCATCCTAGCCATGTAATTATCAAGATCGGTGGTTCTCGACCTGTGGGTCCCCAGATGTTTTGGCCTTCAACTCCGAGAAATCCTAACAGCTGGTAAACTGGCTGGGATTTCTGGGAGTTGTAGGTCAGAACACCTGGGGACCCACAGGTTGAGAACCACTGATCTAGATTAAGATCTTATCCACATAACATCATTCTACAACTGTCTAAAAATGAGTTAGAAAACCATGACAAAATTATTTCATTATTACACATACAAGGGTTGTGCATTAATTCATATATTTAATTAAAATGTTATTCAAAAATTACAGAACTGACATTGTGAAATAATGTCCTTTTCACGAGTGACTAATTGGATTATATTATACTATGCATTAACACATGAAACAGACCACTTCTTTATTAAAAAGGCACTTTTGTGTTCTGCTTGTTCACAATGGAATGGACACTTACAGTTAGAAAGTTGCTTTAATATCTTACAGTGTTATAATAATTTAAAGCTCTAAGGCGAATAGCTTCATTTCTAGTAGCATATCTTTAAAATTCAGGAGGTAGAAATCTTGACAAGAGGTGTGCTAAAGTGAGTATATTTCAATATTCTTTAGTTCACAAAGACATCATATATTCTTCAACTAGATTTCTCTCTAGAGCAAGCTGTTAAAATACTGCATAAACATGGATGTTGTTACCGAGTCCTTGCCTGTAACACTCAATTGAGCCCAACAGGGTAAGACACAAGTATTTCATGAACTCACACGATCCTTTAGCTGCCACAACAAAACATTTTTTGCATAAGAAATTTTCTCAGTAAAAGAAATATACATAATTCCCATTCATATCTACATGCAGCTTCTTCTCAGGAAGCCAGATTTGTATACATTTCATTGTAGACAACTCCCACTTTAGAACATCTTGCCTTTCACTGGTAGCCATCACCTGATATGTTTTATGCTATCTTAAAATTCCTAAAGAAACTTCAAAACAATGACTAAGAGACCACAAGGCATTGATCACTGCCTTGAAAGCAAAATGCTCATGACATAGAAGAAAATAAGGAAGAGAAGGAATAAGGGAAGAAATACAATAAAGCAAACAACCTGACAGATAAATAAATACATACATACATATTTAATACCTATGCATTTCTTAAAATAAGAGAATCCAGACATCAATGGTGTCTAGGTAAAGGTAAAGGTTTTGCCCTGACATTAAGTCCAGTTGTGTCCAACTCTGGAGGTTGGTGCTCATCTCCATTTCTAAGCTGAAGAGGCAGAATTGTCCATAGACACCTCCAAAGTCATGTGACCAGCATGACTGCAATGAACACCATTACCTTCCCACTGGAACAGTACCTATTGATCTACTCACATTTGCATGTTTTCAAATTGCTAGGTTGGCAGAAGCTGGGGCTGACAGCAGAAGCTCACGCTGCTCCCCGGATTCGACACTGCAACCTTTCGGTCATAAAGTTTAGAAGTGCGCCACTGGGAGCTCCTTGTATGGTGTCTAGCCATACTGAATTCCAAATATAATGGGCAAAGAACAGGAAAGAGTTGAAAGAAAACAGATGCAACTTCTGGTTTGACCATCACAATGGTGCTGCAGAACAACATCCATTTTGGGATGGCGTGGGTAACAAACATGGCCCAAGGACCACATCCAGGCTCCCTCCCCATTTTTGCCACCAGTAGCTTTCTGCTATTACAAATACCAGTGAAATTTTGTCAATAAATGAGGCACATGGTTTTTGTGCCATGTTCATACCAGAATCCTACTGTTTTGTGGAACCAACAGCAGACACGGACAGCCTCTGCTGATATTCAGGTCCAAGCCTGCTGTAGGCATGTGAGGGTAAAAGAAAAAAAGAAAGAAAAGAGCAAAAGAATGAAAACAGAAAAATGACAAGATAAGCCATGGCAAAGAAATAGGGTAAATGTTTCTTCTAAGGAACCTATGCAGTGCATAGATAATTTTAAAAGTTAGGATGAGGCTGCTGGTTACCTATACCAATAAGACTTCATAAAATAGATGCAGATGAGATTATGCTGTGAAACAAACTTTTCTGTTACTTTAATAGTAATGTGCTTGAAAAAATCTTGTATACTATGCATTTCATTAGAAGAAGCAATAAATCCAAGAGTCTGAAACAGTAGTTGCAAAAGAATCTGCAAAATGACCCACAAGTCCATTATATAAATGGGACATTATTTGTTCTGAAAGTTGTAGTAATTTTATTTTTCAAAGGTAATGACTATGACAAATGGTGGAAAACCAACTTTGCTGCCTTTTCACACCAGTTTTTTTTTAAAAAAACAGATTTATCTATTATTAAAAAATGCAAAGAATTTGACTAATGGTGGACAACTGTATTTAGCAATCCCTTTTTGTAGCAGAAGTGTATTTAAAAATGAAGTATGTTAGAACATCAGCATTTCCTTCCTAACTTACAGAAAATCTATTCCAGATGTAAGTTCTATGAATAGGTAAAATATTGCATACTTTGTTTTTCCTTATCTTAGAAAAGCCCCTGATCATAGACTAAGATGAACTTCAACGTAAAGCAAAAACTAAACTACAGTGTTCCCTCGCTACTTTGTGGTTCACTTTTCACGGACTTGCTCTTTCGTAGGTTTTTGCCTCCTGGCATTGATGGAGTGAGGAAAGGGGTTTTGCCCTCCCTCTCGGGAGAGAGGCAGGCAATCATAAAAAAAGAGAGAGGAGATACAAAGCAGTATGTAAATCACGGTTTTATAGCCCCTTCCTTATAGATAGCAAAAAAAAAAAAAGGTGTGTGGTGCTTTTAATCTCCTCGCTTCTGCCTCACCCTTGCCTACTTCACGGGACCACCGTGAACGTAACACCCGCGATAAGTGAGGGAACACTGTACTTCTTTTTACCAGAACATGAAACATTAATAGCAACATAAATTGTTACTCTAAAATTGTACTCTGAACAGACATCTGACTCTTTATAATAATTTTCAGTAGAGGCAAAACAGGCATCTAGAAAACTCTTCATAAGTCATTATTTCTCAATATGCATCTCTACTACAAAGCTGCAGAAAAAAATTGACAGACCCTTGACCTAATCTGTTTCCTGTAATCAAACTACACAACATTCATTCTTTCTTCCAATATCCTTAAACTTTTTGTTTTTGAAATGCATGAAATCTTGAGATCTTTTTGCTTATTAGGCTTTCCTCTTTTGGGATGCAAATAAGGCACACTAAATGGTCTTGGACAGCAGAATATATATACAAAACATAAAATAGTATTGTGTTGCAACACTTGTATTGACTGGTATCTTTCTTACCCACTTCATTGGGTTTCCTCATCATAACAATTACACATGTCTTTCTTTTTTCTTTCCTAACTGGCAGTCAAACTGCTATCTCCCAATTACTGTATCGTTCACTTTATTCCTTTTTGCTGAAGTCATTTAGTACTGCAGAGGTCAAAACGGTGCCCTATCAACTATTCTGTCAGCATCCATGATCAGAGATTTCTTCAAGCAAAATTATATCTTGGGTAGGATGTTCAGGTCAATTAGCACCACTGAGGAAACTGCATAATTCAAGCACCTAAGTTCATAACTGTGAATGGCTTCAGAACTATGGGTAGAAGAAGAGCTTCTTACACTAGAACTGTTAAGACATGATTAACTGAAATATAGCATCCTTGACCCTAACTAGATTTTGGATGTGGACAGCATACATGAAAGAAAAATATATATTTAGCAACCTTAGCAAAAAAAGACCCTGAAAATGTCAAACACAACAAGTACAAGTAGCTGGCAAGGCTCATCTGCCAGGGTGAGGCAGAAGACGCAAAATACAGTATTATTTGTCTCTAGGCTCTAATTAAAATTATATTTCCATATACAAAACTAGATTGCTTTTGCCATCAGTAGACTTGTCTCTCATTACTAAAAAATCATTGCTCCAAGTGCAAAAAAAGGACTGGGCCAGGCATAGGATTACAGCACAAACTAAAGCAGAAAGGCAACTGAGTAAAGAGAAAGCTATCTAGAAACCTATTTATTATTATTATTATTATTATCAGTCATCACCAGGATAGCATTAGATTAACCAGATCAATGAGCCAGTCAGCTTCTACTGAGTGATTAAATGCATCAAAATGTCTAGCGCCTTCTCCTGTTAGACCCAAGCTCATTTTGGAGTTTGCAAAAAAGATAAATGGCAAAGTTAATATTAATCTTCTAGCCTAAGTTTACAGTATAATGCACTGTTATAGCTATGTTCTGATATTATCAAGGCTTATTTGGCAGAATATTCTCACACAAATTTTTAGCCAGTTCAACTCCACTGAGATACCAAGATTGAAGACATTAAATAGCACAGGTAGTGCTATAGGAAAATATAAGCGGAATCTGACCATAATGTAATAGAAAAAGAACTCCTTTAATGCATAATTCTGATCTTCCCATACCTCAGCAGTTATTTAACTCACTTATTATGACCAACAGAGGGCATATCTTCATTCTTTTATATTTCAAAGATAAAGAGAAAACAGTTTCCACTTCCTGCAAAAACACTGCCTTCTGCATATGGCAGTTTTCTTTCTGCCTCCCTTGTTCCCAAGGAACCCTTTTTTTGTGCATAATTTCTCACAATTAAAAGCAACAGCTCAAGACTGTAGGCAAGCTGGACTACATTGTCCCATCAGCGCTGCGAGGCTGAAAACCTTCTCTTCGGGGACTCATTACGTCCAAACGTGTTAAAACCTCACAACGTACCAATACAGTATCCTCTTTTATATATGTTCTTTGTTTTAGAGTTTGCAACTGCATAAAAGTCACATATCCAAAACCTTTTGGGTTGCGACGGGTTTTTGGGCGCTGGAAAGCTAGCAGCTCAGGCTTGGTATCCATTACTTCTTCATGGTTTTGCCTTGGAGATCCTTCCGACTGATCCAGAACAGAAAGGCGTATGGTGCCTTGAAATGGCCAGGGAAGATAATTGTCATACTCCCCTTGCATAATATGAACAAAAAGGGAAATATAGTTAGCACACCTCTGAACATTTGGAAGCTGGATATGCAAACGCATGCAAAGTTTGTAGCCAGGCTTCCCTGTATAGAAACCTGGGCTGTGGATCACAACAGGTCTTTCTTCTTCTAGGGCTTTCAGATAAACACTGAAATGCTCAATCTTCCATATGAAAATACCATTACACTGCTGTGCTTCCAATTCAGTGATTTTCTCCTCTAGATTTTTAATTGTTCCTTTGAGATCCCCCATCTGGGAGTTTTGGGTTTCCATTTTGGCAATGAGTTCTCTGATTTGGTGATCCTGTCTCACCAAACGACCTTCCAGCTGCTGAATGGTCTCCTTGAAGTTCCGGACTTCAGGGCTACATTCACATGATGGTGGCATGGCTTGAGAGAAGAGGGATGGGTCAAAGGATAAACCACCATGGAAATTTCCAGAAGCTGGATCCGTAACATGAAAATTCCGGAGAGTCTGAGCCATCATTCTCATATGAACCTGAGTGAACTCTTGCCAATGGCGTGCCAGCTCATTTCTCTGCATCTACAATTAAATAAAAACATATAGTTCACGGGCCTTTCCTCTGACTTAGATCAAGTGCTGAGTCTTAAGAGAAAAGAGGAAAATATTGTATTAAAAGGAGAACTGACTTTATTTTCCCGAGAGTATCTGAAACAAGAACTGAAAACTGAACATGAGAAACTGTTATTACTGTACAGGTGAGAGTTTATGGGAAGCATTTGAAGCCTTAAGGGAAATCCCCTTGCTTTACAATGCCTCCCCTTACTTATTCTTTTTCTGAACTATAAAGTTCCTCTCTTTATAGTAGAATTTCTCCATTCATTTGATCATTTTGGTTATTTTCCACATCTTTTGTTCATAAACTGCAGTAAAACAGGCAAACACAGGCCTAATCATTAAAACAATTGTAAATGTGCGTCTATAAGTTGGTTGCCGATTTGAAGGTACATACACAAAAACAATTAAATCCGTAAAATATATACAGAATTGTACTATAACTTACTTTTTCTGGACATCCAAAATCACTATAGGTACATGGTACAGGAGCGGTAGGACAATCATTATCATAGTGATTAGGTAACTAGAGAAACAAGAAAGAAATTCCTGCTCAAACAAATTTTTCTGATTTTAACTACAGACAGTATGAAACCTATGAATTACTCATTAGTCACTTGTATTTATGAGAATATGCATACCATTTATACTATGACAAAATTTATCTAATTACAAATTAGATATCTTGAAGTACAATGATTCACAGTGAGCAAACCACTTGTTAGCTCACAGCAAATCTTGTTATTTTATTATACTACTAGCTGTACCCACCACGTGTTGCTGTGGCCAACCTTCCCTCCCTCTTTCCTTCCTTCCTTCGTTCCCTCTTTCCTTCTTTTCCTTATTTCTTTCCTTCTCCCCTTCCTTCCTTTTCTACCTCTTTCTTTCCTTCCCCCTTATTTTCCTTCCTCTTTCTCTCCTTTCTTCCTTCTCTACCTTCCCTTCCCTCCCTCTTTTTTATGCTTTTCCCTCCTTCACTCCCTTTTTCTTTCCTTTTATTCTGTCCTTCTCTCCTTCCTACCTTCTCTACCTCTTTCCTTCCTTTGCTTTTTGCTTCCTTCCTTCTCTTTCCTTATTTCCTTCCCTCTTTTTCTGCTTCTTTCCTTTCTTCCTTCACTCCCTCTTTCCTTCCTTTCCTTTTTTGTCCTTCTCTCTTTCCTTCCTTCTCTACCTCTTTCTTTCCTTTCCCCTTTTTCATTTCCTTTCACTTTCTCTCCTTTCTTCCTTCTTTCTTTCCTTCTTTCTTTCCCTCCCTCTTTCTCTCCTTCCTTCCTTCTTTCCTTTTGTCTCTTCCTTTTTCCTGTATCGTCATTTAGCTTTTCATCATTTAGCTTTTTGAGGTTTTTAAGTCCTTTCCATTGGGTTTTTTTTTGGGGGGGGGAGGCGCTTATGAGTGATGGTAACTCATTGATCTGTTGGAGTGTAGTGTCCAAATTTCATGTTAATTCGTCTAGTGGTTTTTGAGTTATATTAATCCCACAAATGAACATTACATTTTTATTTATATAGATATTCAGTTTTTTATCATATCTTTCAGCCAAAACTTCCAAAATAAAACAACACAGCACAATTTTAAGACTCCAGTCATGTACTTGAAATTAGATGTACTTAAATAAATAGGATTTCTGACTGTAAGGAAGCGTAATCCCACCTAGATGGGATTACCAAAATTAAGTAAATACGTATGTTAATCCACCTAATTTCACCATAAATTATAAGGAAGTCCCAAAACTGCTTGATTACACTGCCACCATTATATATAGAGACGTTGGAATTGAAGTCTCTGTTTATCCCTATCTGCGTTGTGAGGCAACTTTGGTAGAGTGGATTGCACCAAACGTAAAATCAATGGAGGAGGCAGATTTATAACACAGAGAGAACAAGTTTATTGTTAACAGAGCGTAATTGTTGCAATACTAAGGTGTTGAACTTGGCACAAGCTTGATGGTTACAATATGGCTTGGTAGAGATACATTCAGGCTTCTGATGTTACAATCCTTTAAACTCCTTCTTCAGTGAAGTACTTTATTATTTCAGTGTTCCCTGTTGTGAATATTCACTCTGTTTGTCCTATACCGGATCAAACCACCGATCTCCAGTCTTTCACTACTGGGATCCCTAAAACCCCCTTTGTTAGATTCTTTTTAACACAAGCAATCTAACAAGGTTTCACCTTCAGCTCCCTTGCTGAAGAAATATTCACAAATGCTAAGAACTAACTGAATTTATACTGCTTCACCACACAGAACCCTAACTGACTCCGCTCCTCTTCTCAGGGTCTCATCCTCCTGACTGACTATTAACTGTTACTTTCAAACCTTTTTCTCCTTAAGCTCCGCCCACCTTCTCTTCTGCCTTGTCACCATGGCAACCTATCTCTCACAGCTAGGCCATGGCCACGCATGTAAAACATAAATACAGTTTAATCCTAGATAAGGCGTCCGCAACTATATTTCGTTTACCTGAAACATGTTTCATTTCAAATATAAAATCTTGTAAACACAAACTCCATCTTAACAATTTGTTATTTGTACCTTTTACATTATCCAGCCACCGTAATGGAGCATGGTCTGTTTGTAAGGTGAACTTCCTACCCCATAAATACGGTTTTAGTTTCTTAACGGACCAGATAATGGCATAGCATTCTTTTTCAATTGTTGACATACTATACTCATTAGAATGCCATTTCTTACTTAAAAACAATATAGGTCTGTCCTCACCCTCTACAACTAACTGGGTTCTGTACTAAAACTATGGGTGAAGCCCAAAAGCTAATTGATGGAACAATAATACCTGGGTCCCACATTTCTCTAATCTCTTTTTCAATGCATTCATTTATTCTCCCCGTGACCCTGTAGGGTGGAGATACTATGGGAGTTGCATCACCGGTGTTTATTCGATGCTGGACTCCTTGGACCTTTCCTGGCAAATCTGAAAATATGTCTCTATATTTACTTAACACTTCTACAACCTCTCTATGCTGTGGTTGGGACAATTCTATGTTCATATCTACCCGATCTAAATTTTTGTACTGTTCACGATCACCCTCCCAAAAAGAAAAGGGACCGGATTCCTCTTCCGAAACAACAAAACATACATTCACAGACCTTACAACATAAGGCTTTAACATGTTTACATGGACTCTTCTTTCTACATTGGAATGTTCATCAAAAATATCATAGTTTATCTGGCTGTGCTTTCTGATGATCTTCCAGGGTCCAGACCAATCCAATTGAAGTTTGTTGGTTTTGCTGGGAGACAAAAACAAAACTTCATCTCTGATGTTGAAAATCTTTGGTTTAGCAGTAGAGTCATAATAGTCTTTTTGTCTCTGCTGAGCCGCAAGCAAATGTTCTTGAGCAATGTCTCTAGCTAGCTGCATTGTTGCTTGAAGATCCTTTAAATACTCCGTCACTGGAACTGGATCTGTCGCCGGACTTTCTTCCCAATATTCTCTTATCAAGTCTAGCGGACCACGAGCTTTCCTTCCATATACCAATTCAAATGGACTGTAGCCAGTGCTGTCATGAGGGACGGTCCTGTAGGCGAATAACAATTGTTGCAATTTGACATCCCAGTCGTATGGTTTCTCTTGACTATAAGACTTTATCATTTTGACTAAAGTCTTGTTCATATTTTCAACCAGTCCATTTGTCTGTGGTTGATATGCCGTTGAAGTCAGGTGTCTAATTCCACATAACTCAAGCAATTTCGACATAAGCCTGGAAATAAACTGGGTTCCCAAATCCGTAACCAATTCTCTAGGATAACCAGTTCTTCCCCAAATAGATAACAGGGCATTTGCAATTGTTGTTGTTTCGATGTTAGTCAGAGCTACAGCTTCTGGGTATCTTGTGGCGTAGTCAATCATGGTTAAAATGTATCGGTAACCACGTCTGCTTGGTTTACAAAGAGGACCCACTATATCAATGCCTACTCTGTAAAATGGTTCTCCAATTATTGGCATAGGAATCATAGAGCTTTAACTTTATCCCTTCCAGTACTCAATCTCTGGCAGATGTCACAAGATTGGCAAAATTCTTTGATCCTCTGGAACATTCCAGGCCAATAAAAATTCTTAGTGATCCTCCTCGTGGTTTTCCTCACACCCAAATGTCCACCTTGAGGGTTCTCATGTGCCACCCTCATCAGCTGCTCTCTAAAACCTTGAGGTACTACAATTTGACTATATGCCACTGATCCTTCTGTCGAGTTTACCCTTCTGGTTTCTCTATATAAGACACCATTTTTCAGCACAAACTCGGAGGGCTGTTCTCTCGCCGATACTGTGGGGTTTTGAGCCAAAGCAAACAGAGGTTTAAGAGAATCATCGGCTCCTTGTTCCTGCCGAATCTCTTCAACTCCTCCTGTCTTCTTAACAAGCTCAGCAACTGTAGCACTGGATTCCGGACTCTCATCCTCATCTTGTTGTATGGCAAAACACAGGGCTTTTTGTTCAGGGCTCTCGTTGTTACATTCTTTCTCCTCACACACCATCCCCCAGCTCTCAATCTTCTCAGCCAAATCATTTCCAATTAAACAATCGTATGGTATGTCAGGACTAACTGCAAAGTCCCACATACCCTTCCATCCTTCATATTCTATTGGCAAAGTCACCACTGTTGGTATCGCAGGTCCTAAACCTTTTAATTTTATTTCAGAGGTTGGCTGCTGAAATTTCTGAGGGATTATTTCGGGATGCACTACACATATTTCGGAACCTGTGTCTCTGAGTCCTTTCCTGTCTTTGTTATCAATACTGATGGTTTCTAAGTAGTCCTTAAATGGGCTGCCTGACAAGATGAACAAACATTGTTTCTCTTGAGGCTCTGAGCCTGAACTCTTCGTTGAAACAGTATTTGGTTCTGCCTTTGGTGTTCCCTTCATTTTATTCACAAAAAGGGTTGTTTTCTCTTTCCTTAACAGGGGACATTGATACTTTATATGATCCAATTTTCCACATTGAAAGCACCGTCTTTTTACCTCAGGAGCAGTTTGTCTTGTTACACTCTGCCCCCTATAGATGGTGTTTTCTAAGTCAGACCCCTTTTCTGGCTGTAGGCGCGTTTGTTGTGGATAAAATGGCTGCCTGTTTGTTCTTTTGTCACCTGGCAGATCTTCTCTCTTAAATCCTTCTTTTAAGGTTGTTATTTGATCTGCCATACCCGCTGCCTCTACAATTGTGGATGGCTTGCGATCCTGAATCACCCAGCGAATATCATAAGGCACTAATTGGAAAAACTGCTCCAGCTTCAAAAGTTCCCTCAGCTGTTGATAATCTTCCACCTCAGACGTCCTTATCCAACTATCGAACAGTTGAGACAATCTTGAGGCCACCTGAGCAAAACTTTGAGTTTTATCCTTTTTTATTGTCCTGAACTTAAATCTATAATATTCGGGAGTCAATCTAAATTCTTGTTGAATCTGTTTCTTAAACAGATCATAGTCTCCATAAGAATCCTCAGACATCTGTCCATAAATCTGCAAAAGTTTCCCACTTATCTGAGGCCTTAGGTATGTCATCCATTTTTTCTTAGCCACCCCAAAATCTCGACAACATCTCTCAAAAGATATTAGGAATTTCTCTGGGTCATCGTCTTTGGTAAATTTTGGGAATTTCTTCGTCAAATCTGGGGTATCTCCTCCAGATCTCCCTTCCTGGATATCCCTGGATGTTTGAGACAAAGCCAATCTTTGTTTCTCTAGCTCAAACTCCATTCTCTTCAATTCTAACTCCTGTTCCAATTCTCTCACTCTCTGTCTTTCTTCGAACTCTCTCTGTTTTGCCTCTTTCTCCATCTCCAATCGTTTCATCTCTAGTTTATACTTATAAGCCATTTCTGAGAGAGGCATCGGCTCGGTCTCTGTCTCAGAGCTCGAACTTTCCTCTTGGTCTCCCTCTCTTTCCTCAGCCAGCTTTCTCTGTCGCCTGGTAGCCATCTTTCAGCAACTTTTACCTCACAACTTATTTCAAAATTAACTTAAGGCACTCGATCAGTTGTTACACGAATCCCGTCGTCTGCCACCAAAAATGTAAGGAAGCGTAATCCCACCTAAATGGGATTACCAAAATTAAGTAAATACGTATGTTAATCCACCTAATTTCACCATAAATTATAAGGAAGTTCCAAAACTGCTTGATTACACTGCCACCATTATATATAGAGACGTTGGAATTAAAGTCTCTGTTTATCCCTATCTGCGTTGTGAGGCAACTTTGGTAGAGTGGATTGCACCAAACGTAAAATCAATGGAGGAGGCAGATTTATAACACAGAGAGAACAAGTTTATTGTTAACAGAGCGTAATTGTTGCAATACTAAGATGTTGAACTTGGCACAAGCTTGATGGTTACAATATGGCTTGGTAGAGATACATTCAGGCTTCTGATGTTACAATCCTTTAAACTCCTTCTTCAGTGAAGTACTTTATTATTTCAGTGTTCCCTGTTGTGAATATTCACTCTGTTTGTCCTATACCGGATCAAACCACCGATCTCCAGACTTTCACTACTGGGATCCCTAAAACCCCCTTTGTTAGATTCTTTTTAACACAAGCAATCTAACAAGGTTTCACCTTCAGCTCCCTTGCTGAAGAAATATTCACAAATGCTAAGAACTAACTGAATTTATACTGCTTCACCACACAGAACCCTAACTGACTCCGCTCCTCTTCTCAGGGTCTCATCCTCCTGACTGACTATTAACTGTTACTTTCAAACCTTTTTCTCCTTAAGCTCCGCCCACCTTCTCTTCTTCCTTGTCACCATGGCAACCTATCTCTCACAGCTAGGCCATGGCCACGCATGTAAAACATAAATACAGTTTAAACACAGTACAATAAACCCTTTATAATAAACACTTCTCTACACTGACTATGTAAGCATAAGATGTGCTCTAAAAATCCTACAATTAATAACACAGTTCAACCTGAAAACAGAAGAATAGTATCTGATGACTATTATTTTTCATCAGTTAATTGTTTCCAGAGGGCTTTTCATATTTTTTTCCCTATAAATTGTGTTCTATTTTATTCATTTTAATAGTTTTCTAATATGTTTAAAAGTAGGAAGATTTCTTCTACGGGGAGTGGCATCACAGAAGGCCCTCGTTCATACTGCTGAGATGCAGAGGTGATCACAAGGTCTGCATCTCCAATCCTCAAAGGTGACCTTGCCACCTGCAGCTAGGTAGCTGGCAACAATAATTTATGTACTGCAACTCATTGAATGTGGGGAAATGAAAGCCCTTCACGTGGCAAGGTCTCAGTCTCTGTAATTGACATATATTGCAGACACTCTCCAATTAGAATCTTGATCATCAAGCACCACCCAATTACCTCGGTAAGACAATGTTTATATAGCTATACCCACAACTCATGCAAACTCCCAATAACTTCTGATCTCTACTGAGGTACGTCACCCTTCCCCCCAGTTCCATTGTGCAACCTTGAACATTCCATATGTACAATTAGGGGTAGTGGGAAAAGAGCCAAGACAGGATCTTACCTGTTCTCTGATTAGTACTGTGTTACAGTACTCACAGCAGACATTCGCCAAAAGGCATACTCCATCATGAACCTTCATTTCAGTTAAAACAAATACTAAATTAGAATCAATTTAAGCAAAGAAGATTAATGGAGCATAAATATTATTAAAAGTACTGCTATCTAGAAAGTAATTTCTCACTCTTATCACCTGTCTGCACTAGAAAAACAGCAATCCTAACCAAGCAGCAGAAAGTATAAAACAACACTTTCTCAGAAGTTCACAGAAATGTTATTTCATAAAGCTGTTGTTAAATCAAACATTGTATATTTGTAAGATCTGGTTTAGTAGTACCAGAGAGGACATGTCCTTAGATGATATTCAGAAATCCCACCTATCTAAGAAACTTTATCCTTAAGCAACATTTTATGGAAAAGAAAATCTCAAACACTGTTCAAGCAAACCACATCATTATAGGTTTACACTCTGCTAAAGATGTCTAACTTGTATTCTTGGTATGTAATGAGAAATAGTTCCAAAGCCACTTTTGCTACCTAATGTAATTTTCTTATGAGTGGCCAAATCTATAGCAAAAGTGATATTAGCTAACAGTGAAGATTTTGTAGTTCAGGGAGATTTGCCTTCAGGTTAACTCAAGATGGTAGCATTGTGGAAAAAAGTTCAAAAAATAAAAACTACTTGGGGAAAAAATAATATATCTTTTTCTTACAAAAGAAACTGAATGAAAGTTATCACTCTGATTAAATCTCACCAGAAGATCTCCAGCTGAAACTGTAATCATAGATAGCAAAAGTAGAAATTCAAAATGTGACATGAAGTGCCTGGAGGCAAAAAGGTGGGCCACAATTCAAGGGAAACTGTTTCAGAAAATGAAATAGGAGGCCTACCTTGTCCTGGACTTCTGTGAGGAAAAATACAAATCCAGGATGTTCTGGGGCACAAAAAAGGCAAAATCTCTTTGTCAATTTTTTCTAAATATTATCCTATATGATATTCTATTCTGATAACGGTAAACACTGAAATATCTTCCAAGACAATACATGAAGATGGCAAGTTGTTCCGCCTTGATCAATGCTTAATTCAAACGATAAATATCACCAAGAAGACAGTCTTACAAAACAAAATTGTATGCTTTGACCATACCTCTTTTTCTTCATAAGGCATCAGCAATGCACAGTTTGGACAGGAGACTTGCCGCCGTGGGCATTCTAGCTTGATGTGTTCTTGTAGCTGATTCTTCTGGAAAATTCCCTGGCACTGGGGACACTTTTCAGAAGCAAAACCACAGTGTTGCTGATGATCCTGATAAAGAACAATACGAACCATTTCAAGAAACACCAGACATGTGGACAATATCATTATGTCTGTAAATCATGTAAACAAAATTAAAATGAACATTGCTGGCTACCTTTGAGGTAAGCAACTTTTGTTGCTATTGTGTGCCTTAAATTCTTTTTTGATTATGGCAACCTAATCACAGGATTTTCTTGGGAAGATTTGTTCAGAAGGGAATTGCCTTTGCCTTCCTCTGAGCCTGAGAGTGTGACTTTCCCAAAATCACCAATGGGATTCCAAAGCAGGGAAACCTTTGCCTTCAGTTATAGCTCATGCTCAAACCACTGAATCACACTGTTTCTCTACACCTGTCAATTTTTCCTGTTCCCTGAGAAGTCCAAGGAGTATAAAATGATGATCCAAATGAGGAACGTGCCACTGAAACATGCTTGTGAATAACAGCAAGTTCAATTCATCTATAATAAGAACAATTTTTTATGGTACAAAACATCTACTAAAGCTGTTACAAAGTGAATTGAAAGGCTTCCTTAATGGGTTAACATGCTACAAAAACTTACACAGAATAAGCGGACTAGAAGTGTTTCTGTAATTAATAATTATATCATACTATATTATTATTATAGTGGCTCATGAATATCCCAGCCTTACGTATCCTATTCAGTGGCCTTCCCTATAGCTAAGTCTATCATGAGGCAGACCTAGAACTGGCTCAAGCAGTACATTCTGGGTGAAATTCTTTAGTATTCACAGAGAAGATGATCTATGTACTCTTTTAATCTTTTTTAAGGCAAAGTAACATTTGGAACAGTGAACATATCTGTTGTGTACCTTCTAAGAGAAATAGACATCACAAAAATTTAGATCAAACTCACAATGGGACAAATAGGCTTGGTAGCTGAAATGCAGCTAAACCATATTTCATGCAATATGAATGGTAAAAATTGTTGAGTTCCTCTTTGTTGCTTTCTTCTGATGTTCCCATCCAGTGATCTACACTTACCAATGTAAAGACGACTGACAGCCCTTTCCCACTTTTATTCACTCCTTTTATTAAGTCTCTTCAGAGGATTTTAAAAAAAAATGATCATAACTACTATCCAAAAGTAGGAGATGGATATAAAGCATCTCCCTGGAACAGTCTTAATAGTTGTAGCTGCTCAAAGTAATGTAAAACTGGACTGAAACATGACCATTTATTAAAATTCCCACCTCTAAATGCCTTAATTCCATCTTCTGGTTACAGCCCTTATTAGGACATTTCACTGTCAGTGAGAGGATTTCTCGTTTTGCAAAGTTGTCAGGAAACAGTTGAGTTTCTAGTAAGATTTCATTGTCTATTGGGCATTTATGACCGGCATCTCTGTTGAAAAGAAGAAACATTTACATTTTTAAATGTAGTAAGTTTAGATTTAGTAAGGACTTTTTATTTTTACGCTCGGGTCTAATTATGCCTTGTCTGATCATGAAGCCATTCCTCCTTGTGCAACATTGCTCATGTCACCTCTCCTGATGTAGCCTATCCCATGTTATCCTTACTAAACCATTTCAGAAATTTCCAAGGCCACAGAGCCTTTCAGAGGCCACTGGGATCTACAGGGGAAAGGAAGAGACAAAAACTCCAAGGTTCAAGTTGAGTTTTAAGGCATGATATCTTTATACACCATTCTCAAATTGTACCCATGCAATGTCTGTAAGCTGCATTTTGAATTCCAGTCAGGAAAATATTAGGGTCTCTATATGATCAAAGTGTCCTCCTATCTCCAGCAATTCTTCTCGTTTTCCACAAATGAAATGGAAGAACTGAACACACTTAAGCACAGATTTGACAACAAAAAGGAACTGGACTGGATGTTTGACCTTGTCTCACAGCTATAAATTTAAGCTATGCAAGTCAGAATCTTTTCCAGATACAGTCTTTGAGGATAGAACTGGATGCAATGAGCCAAATGCCAGCTTTGTATTGTTATCTGTAATAGATGGTATAAAGAGAATATTTTTCCATTACTGATTTGAAAAGGAACGTGGCAACGAATTATGACCCAAAAAAAGAGAACCTCTACGTTTTGATTTTAGTCTGTAAAACTAATGCACATTTGAGATGTGATGAAACACCGAATTACTATTTTTCACCAGGGAGAAAAAAGGAAGCCTGCATTCATGATTCAGTCTCTCAGGATCTGTCTACAGCATTACAAATTATGAACTTGTTAAAATAGTTTTCCGTTTTTTTTTCCTTCAGCGGAATAGGCAATGTGACTCAGGAGCCTATTACTGAAGTGGAAAATCAAATTAATTGAGAACCACTTCAGATCTCACAAAATATTTCAGAAACATCAACTATGATCCTGCTGCAGGATCATAGTTACTACAATAGCAACCCAATATCCAGTTATAAAATGCACAACAGGAAAAAGTTCTTTTGTAACCTACATGAAAATATCTATCTATCTATTAATTTATTTAGAACTTTTATATCCCGGTCTTCTCAACCTCCGCAGAGGGACTCAGGCTGGCTAACAGAAAATGCATACACAAATAAACTAATAACATCATAACATCATCTAAGTCCCATAGTAAGGAAAGGCTGGGTCTGCTTATTAAGTAAAAGGATTAGGTTATTCCAGATTCAATTTAATAATGTAGCTTGTGCTTTTACTGCTTTTATCCTACTAGAATCCAACATTCAACTCTTTTCTAGTCCTTTTCCAATCCAATCCTATCTTTCCTTCCTTGCTATTTTAGGCTGATTTTGATTTCAACCCCCATGGTGCATTTAGTGTTATTTCTTTTATCTTTGCTTTTTCTCTTCTCCTGCTTGTACTCTGCTTATGTTTGCTATATATTTAGAGAATTACTGCAAAAACAGCATACAAACCACAGATATACTACTATGGTATAGAACAGTACACATGCCGGCAAACTGTAAATGTTTAAAGCAAATTTTAAGGTTACTAGCACAAAAATCCCTGGATTTACCTGCATGTAATTTGGAAGAATCAATCTCATTCTGGAGTGGCTAATTTCTAATGCTAAAATAAGATTAGTGTAACACTAATACATACCAAGATGGAAAAAAACATTTTTGAGAGACCCAAGTAGACTGACTTATAATAATGCAAGCTTTAAGTTCAATAAATCAGTTCATTTTTTTCCTTAAGTGGCCAGGATAGAAGGGCTCGAAAAGCAAGACAGCAAAGCTGTAACAAGACTCTGTGGCCCTTTCCCAAGTTTCCCAATTGCCCTCCAAAGAACACACCTTGATAGAAGCCTTATTTTAATGTTCAGAAATCCATAAAGAAAACAAAAATAGCAGAGTTATCAGTGTGAACTATGTTTCTTATTCATAGCTGTGTACTGGAAGGTAACTACAATCCATCTGCTAAACTGAAAGTATTCTAAACAATATGCTCAGATCAACTGATCAATTATCTTCAAGAGACCACTAGTAAGGTTTGGCTAATATACCTCAAGGGATGACTCCCTTCCCCACTTTCAACAACATCCACTTTCCTTATTTCCATTTTGGTGGTCAACCACATAGATCTATGCTTTGCTGATGTGTTGGGCATAGCTGGTGATGAAGGCTAAAATTGCTCTCTCCTTTCCCTTGTTTTGTTCTTCATGCATTCTCAGTAAAGTATTTTGGAGTCAACTGTTGTTTGCTTTGCTGGTTGCCAAAAGGCATACCCAGCTATGGTAGGATCGGGTAGAGTACAATCTCACTCTTTCCCATCTCAAGCTATATTTTACATTGTTTACTGCAGATACACTGCTGCACGATTATACCAAATGTCTGTAGTTTTCCAAGCTTTTCTTTGCCATCCTCCAAATGTCAATGTTTAAAATACTTCCATTACAGACAGAAGAAGAGGTGGGAGCTAGGTGTAAAAAGGAGCTTCCTAACCAGACACACTCTTAACTAAAGAATGCCTGCATTTGAGACACTTTTATGAGTGAGCACTGAAATTTATTGTTTCAGCACATGACAGCTGCATGACAGTGTGCTTTGTTACCTTATAGATTTTACAATGCATGCTTTGCAGAAACGGTGTCCACATGGCGTCTGTACTGCTTCCCGCAGAGCCATTAAACAGATGGGGCATTCGTATTTACTTTCCAGCGGTGGATCAAACTCTACATCATAGCCTTGTGTTTCCTCCATGAAAGAGTTTGAAAGTGTTCCACCAGTCTCATTGCTGATACTGGCATTGATGCTCTCTTCCTTGGCTGCAGCACTGCAAGCACTGGCCATGGCTGCACAGCAGCCACTCTCTTGACTATTGGTTTCAAAGCTGGTGTTGCTATGTAGCAAACTCATAGTAATTTGTAAGGTGTTCAAGTGTAACCTGTGTGGGAGGGGAAGAGAGATAGAGACAATTAACTCAAAGGTCAACATTTTGACAAATAGAGAAGTCAATTAACTAAAAGGTCTACATTTTCATAATCCATCAGTGCTTCCTACAAGACATACACTTTCTTCGGCTGCTTTCACAATCATGCAAGCAGATCTGTCTAAACTGCTTCCTCTGTATACATGCATTCGCTTTTTGAGCGTCGCTTACCAAACTGCTATCTAAAGCATTAAATCATGAAAAGCAACCAATCATGAAAATCAAGCTGGATGTTAGACATTGAAGCATTCACCTAATACCTCTACCTTACACATATGTACAGAAACAAATGGAAATCAGTTGAAAAACCTAAAAGTAAATGTCTGATAACTGATGAAAATACAGAACAGTGTCTACATTTGGGTGAAGGAGCAGTTAAGGCTAAAACTCAGTGCTCTATAATAAAGAATAGAAATTTTCCATTGTAAAATACCGTATTAACAACTCCATGGATCATAGTTTACATCTGGACCCCCCTCTTGTTTGAAAATCCAACAGCTGAAAAACATCCAGAAACTTAAACTTTTTGCTGCTAGTCACCTGTTTGTGCCTTTGAGGAAATCCGGCACTACCAGGTTTTTCCTCAAGGAGCCTTTGCTCCTTGAGGAAATTTGATGAGGGAAAGAGGTGGAGGGAAGACTCGAGCTTATGCAGCTCTTCTCACATAAAGCAGATGTGCCAGATGCTTCTCTGGCTGTCACCACAGTTTCTTTCCTTTTTGGGAAGTAGTCCTCATAGATAGGAAGGGAAAGAAAAGTTCCAAGTGCATTTGGTGTGTTGCCAACTATTGCTTTACTTGGCCAATGTTGTCAGCAGTCTCTCCCATCAAAACCTCATTCTCCATCCTGCAAATTGACCCCTTCTCACTTTTTCGAGAAAAAAAATCCTTTTGCAGGGGGAAGGGGAGGTTAAATTAATTTGGGAACACAGGAGAAGGTGGCCTGGATATTCATTTCTTGCTCCTCAAAGGATGGTCGAAATTGTATGATGCTCTGTGCTAGAAGAAAAGGTGTCTGGTGCCATTTTATTAGGGATATCTTCACATATACACTATATACATGTATAAGGTGGCTTTCTCATGTAGCACTACTGTGTCTGGACTTCCCCTTGCAACACAATTACCTGCAATAAAGTGAGAGAAAAAAAAATCCCAAAACTACATTTTTCAGAAAATGCAGTCCTGGGCATGTCTACTCAGATGTAAAATCATTAAGTTCAATACGGTTTACTACTGGGTAAGGCATCTTTGTTGATTATCTGCCTTAGCCTTCTTGTAAAATTCTAGCAAGGTGACCCAGAGGGATATCATGGTTGATGGTACCAAAAGCCACTGAGAAGTCCAGCAGCGTCAACACAGATATTCTTCCATTGTCCAGTTCCTGGCATAGGCTGTCTATCAAAGTGACCAAAACTGTCTCCGTCCCATAGTCAAGCCTGAAAGCAGACTAAAATGACTCTAGATAATCTGCCTCATTCAGATACCTTACTCAAGAAAGGGATCTTGAACACTAGCCTATAATTATCCTTTATAATAGGATTTATTTTTCAGAAGAGGTCTTACAGCAGCCTCCTTCAGGCATATTGGGCCCAGGCTTGTTGTAAAGAGGCATCAATCACTTCCCTTATCCACTCAGTTAGACCTCCTCTTGCCTTTTAACAAGTCAGGAAGGGCAAGAACACAGTACACAGGCAGAGGCTCTCATTCCTGTATATTGTACTGTAAATATTAGTATGTCTACACCATACATTAGAGATTATAAAATTACTCATCACACCTCCTTCTCTTCATCTTGAAAACAACAGATCATTTGCAGTAATACTAGCTAAGTAGTGTGACTTTCTGAACACAAAGGAGCAAGAATAGCAAAAAATGAGAAATAACAACAAAACTACCCCCATATCTATTTCTTATACATTCTTAGAGATACATTATTTCCCAAATACCTCCTTGATACAACACTATTACAACAACAACTTGCTGTCATCAACAACAGATTTTTTTTTTAAAAAAAACACCCACTGTCAAGTGTAAAATTCAAACAGTTAATAGTCATTTTGTAGTAATGTCAACACACCTTCAACTACTGGTGTTATAATTACCTGCTTTTCTTTGGGGAATTTCCAAACAAGGCAGCCTACTCTTATTGGAAATGGAGATCACTTAGTCTTGATTAATCCCAATTAGTATATGTAGGAAAATGGATAATACCACTACAATCCACATTATTCAATTTTTTAGGAATACCTGATTATCTCAAAAAGACTGCTCTCATTTTATTAGATGTATTAAATGTCCAAGCACATTTTCTCTTTTTTTAGTCTCTTGAAAGCACTGCCTTTAGTCTTGAATAGTGTTTCTCAACCTGTGGATCCCCAGATGTTTTGCCCTTCAACTCTCAGAAATCGTAACAGCTGATAAACTGGTTGGGATTTCTGGGGGTTGTAGGCCAAAACACCTGGGGACCCACAGGTTGAGAACCACTGGTCTAGAAAAATATAATACGTTCAAACTCCAAGATAATGCACTAGCAAAATATTTCCTTGAGAGTATGTTATTCATTCTACTAAATATTTAAATTACAGCAAATGAACAATCTCTAGAGTTCATTCTAATCATACTTACTTAACTGCTGAATATATTCTTATTATTCTTCATAGAAAGTTTTTACTCCATACTGTAAAGGATTATGGAAACAGCACTTCACCATATGGAATGCCACAAGGTTTTCATCCCAGCTGAAATCAAAGAACACATTTATGGTAAGACCAATTTTGCCTCCCCCCAGATTTTTCTCTCTCCCAACCTCTTCATTTGTCCTTTTGTGTACTAATGAGACTCAAAGAAAATTAGCTATCACAAGAACTGACAATCAAATAATCACATATATCACAGTTTTGCATACATCCCCAAATTAATTGTGCATACTTCATAATCTGAAAATTATGAGACCAACATTGCACCTGTTGATCTACAAGTTATGTAGTCCAATAAGCAAAAAGACCACTAACATTCTGCAAGTAGACCCTCACCCATAGTCCAAAACCTTCCTGTCCTCTCCTCTAGGAAGAACCAATCTCCAATCTGTTATAGGGGCTTCCCACACATGAACTTTCACCTCTAAAAGCGACTTGAGTTCATTAACAATTATGATTTCTTCCCTATTAACTCGTGGATCTGAATCCTTCTCTTTAAGTTGCAAAGATTCCGAACAAAATCAATTTGATATACCCATCCACTAATAGAATCAATAAAAACTCCTATGCTCCTTGAGGGGAACAGTTCATTTTGGGATGATGTGTGCTACCATCCCATTCAGGGATGGGCAAAACAAAATGAAAAGCGGCTTCAGCAGCAATAGCAAGCACATAGTTTAATACAAATCACACACCAAAATGTGTTTAGATGTGTTTCTCACATCTAAAATGGGATCCATTTTCTCTGAATGGTAAAAACCTAGAGAATGTTGCTATCTTTTGTGTTTCTCTTTTACTGTGCTTCACAATGTATGTACCTTGGAGCATTCTCTTTTAGTTCTCTGTTATTATTCATAGCACATTTGAATCTGCACTTTGTTTAATCCCACCACATTGTGTCACACTTCCAGACTACCAAACTCCATACCCTGCCTCATTAATTCTTGCATAAAGAATCTTGGTGCATGAGGGGAAAATCATATGTTTCCCTCTACCATCAGGCTATGCCACGGGGCTCTCTAAGTACACAGAATTAGAAAATCATTTTTGACAAGATTCAGTTTCAGTTTGTAGTTGCTATAGACCAGGGAAAACCCATTTCCAGTAGAGAAAACAAACAAACATACATACAAACAAACAAACAAAAAACATTGGCTAAGCACTGTTCCCAATGATATACTAGTTTATAAGCCAAGAATGAACATTCTTTGTTTGTAAAATTATAATAAAATTGGTAGAAGTACCTATTATCTTGATATTTTTTAAAAAAAATCAGACTGGCTTGGTTTTTTGAATAAGCACCTTATAGCAACATTTTATGTCTACTGTCAAAATGGGAATGAACCCACAGTTAGCAATTATACCTGTGCAGATTAAAACTAAAGAATATACTAGGCTTGTTAAATATTTAATAAATTAATATCCAAATGATCCTATTCTAGAATAATAAATCAGCAACACCTGCGTTTTTTGAACTCATGAAGCCTTCTTAGCTGCTGCTTTACCCCTCCATTTGTAGTAAGCAAGGTCAGAAAACAAGTTTAACAAAATAATCTTTCCTTTTATGTACAAACTAAAAACTGATTAATGCCTTCCAAACCAGCCACAATTTGGAAAATTAGACCCACATTCTGACCTATTTGGAAGTCATCAATGTTTCTCACTTTATTCTTTCACACTTGGTTCGTAATCTTTCTATGCAAGCCACTTCTGGCTCTCAGTAAAATACATAGACATTTTCTTTACATTCAATAAAAATGTCTACATCTGAAAGAGCACTATCTGGAGGGGGATACTGAAAGAAAGTGGTTATCTCATATATCTTATATCAATAAACGAGGCCTCAGTCTTAAGTCTGTAAGAACTTGGTATGCTCTCAATGATATAATCTTTTAGAGGGATTTTTGTCAAAGGTTCATCATCATTTGATGGTACAGAACAACCAATACCCAAATTGGAATCAGGAGTTACACATATAAAGTAATTTTAAAATATGAAGAACTGTGTGCCTGCAGGCATTTTTTTAAATGATATAATCTTGGCCAAGGCTGAGCAATCATAATTGACATTCCAGATCTAAACAAACACCAGACAATACTATCTTTGATGTACAGAAATTTCAGTTTTTGTTAATATCCCACTCCTAAGCGATCAGTTTTAAAATACACTACACAATGGGTGCACTGGCTTTCAATTAGCTTCTAAAAGCAATCCAGTTCTATCCGATTTGAGTCCCCCCAGGGATGAGAAAGGCGGTATATAAATATTATAAATAAATAATAAATAAATATCCTCCCCCACAAAGAAAAAACCCCTCTTAAATGACCTTGGTCCTTCTCTGAGTCAGACTTTATTTGTACTCAATTGCAGTATTTGAGATTGACAGAAATATTTGCCTGTGATTTCAGTGCACTAAATTCAAACAGCAAAGGTACACACCAGTATCTAGATGATTGCTCCACGAGTGTATAACAGTGTTTCTCAAACTCTACTCCTTCGGGTGTTTTGGACTTGAGCTCCCACAATTCCTAATAGTTGGTAAGCTTGCTGGGATTTCTGGAAGCTGAAGTTCAAAACACTTGAAGGAGCAGAATTTAAGAAACATAGGTGCATATCCTTATTTGAGCACTTTCCAGATGCTGAGTCACAGCACTCTTGTTTGAGTAGACTTTTAACAGCAGTGATTTATAAGCCAATTGTTACAGTATATCTTCAAAGTCATCTTGACTAATAGGGGACTCTAAGCCAGGCAAATCTAACATGGGATTTCTAGGCACAATTTGTTATGAAGCTGAGAGTGTGATTTGCCCATGGTCACCCAGTGTATTTCTATGGCTGATTGGAGATTCAAGCCTTGGTCTCCAGAACTGTAGCCCAATACTCAAACCACTTCACCATGTTGGCTCTTTAATTGTTGGTAGATTAACATTTTTTTCCCCCAAATTTGATCCATTTATACTGAAATAAACTTTTTTTTAGATTTAAGTTGTATCTGTTATCTGCACCCCTTCTCCTTTAGTGCATTTTAGATTATTTCTTATTGCCATTCATGATAATAAATCCATCTTAGGGCAGGATACAGGTAATAAAAATAGTAAGTAGCAGCCTTACTTCCATTGTCTCTTTTAACACTTTCTAGACAGTGCATTAGGTCTCACTAATATAGTTGGCATCAGCAGGTGATAGTTAAGTTGTGACTGGAGTAAATCTGCTATAAGTAAAGGGTATATTAGTTGGGTATGTTTAGCTTACAAAAAAGTAACAAGACAAAGGCTCCACCTAAGAATACTGTATATGTGTTTGTGTGTGGGGGGGCATTGACAGCTCTTTCTCTCCTGACTTAATACTACTAGTACCTGGACTAATCTACTAAAAACCCATAAAAGATTTTCATACAGCACATAAATCAAGTGAAGAACATAGCCACAAGATGTTGTGATGCCTACCAACTTGAAAAGCTTTAAAATCAGGGATGGACGAGACTACAAGGGCCATCCTGTCTAACCCGTCAAACAAAGTACTAAAAGGGGAATTAGATAATTTAATTTAGATTAGAGACAGTGGCAGCTCTAATCCACACGACTGCTAAGGAACATGAGAAAGAGGATGTAGTTGTTGTACCTCTGTTGGGCTTTGGCAATTCAATCAAACACTATGTGAAAAGAGTATCTGATTAGATATTCTTTTCACATAAGGATTTAAAAATATAAAAATATGGTTGTTGTTATATTCCTAAAGTATTGGGTTAGATTAATTTGACATTATGGACTCACCAGGAAGAGAAATTGTAATCAGTTTTATCATATTATGGTAAAATCAGTCCAATGTTCCCTCCAAATGTTCAAGATAAAAACAGAAGTTAAACAGCTAGCCCCATTAAATAGTAAACAACACAGCAATATATTTCCCCAGTTAACAAGCCCGTCCTTTGGAGAACACAGAACTATGATCCATCTCACTGAATGCTGCTGACTAGGGGGAAAGGTGATCTGTAAGTTTCCTGAAAAAGTGTTAGAGAACAGAAGAAATCTACTATGAACTAAAAAAGACAGGTGGGAGAGGTATATAACATTTAAAAATATCTAGTGTGCACAGAAAATCCTGGGCGACTGAACAAAATTTATTCAAAAGCCAAATAAAACATAAGAAAAACAAAGTCCTATTAAAAGAGGTTGGTTTTCTGTACTATTCAGTAATCACCTAATTGAAGATTTATGGGGATGCTTTTGTAGATCTAGTCTCAAAAGCTTTTCTCAGTTTCACTTTTTCTCTACTTTTAAGATTAGGAAATCTTCAGTTGGGAACATAAGAGATCCCCAAATAATCAGTAATATCCCTGCCTCTTGCAGGCCCTCTCTTTGTGCTATGCTGAAAACAAACATGAGCATACCTTCCGCTCTAAATCAAAGAGACAAAATGCAAGACAAAAGCAGAGTGAGTGTGGGAAGAGAAGAACCTGAGAAACAGCAAGTCTAGGCATGCAATTCTGGAGTAAGATGAGAAAGACTGAGGAAGATAAAGGCACAATTAGAAGACAATACCTCCCAATCCTATTTGGCTTTTCAATTTAATTAATTTTCCTCCAAAATATTCCATTTGTGGCCACTTGGTATCAGCTGGCACATTGCTCCAAGACATCTGTCCACTGCATGGAAACCAAAAGCTGTGAATGCTCAAATCCCTTTGTATGCAATACCACCATAAAATGGTATCCCATATATAAACTGCCAAAATCAAAGTTGGTTTTTAAAAACATTTTCAAACCATGGATAGTTGAATCTGTGGATACTAGAAAGCATGACTCTACAAGCAAACAACACGCCTTTCAGAATCAACAATTCCAGTGGCAAAACATTTTGCCTCCTCCCAAAGCTGGGTGGATCTACATCATAATCTTTGGAAGAAGAGAGGGGAGAACACCCACCTATCTACCCAACGCGGTAAAAAGAGGCAACTCTTCACATACTCTAACTATAGGAGGACAGGCTGATGAAGCGGGGTCAATGCAGTCTGACACCACTTTACTGGCGATGAAGTCCTAGGACTTAGAGTTTGGTGAGGCACCAGCACTCTTGGTTAGATAATAATAATATTTCTTACCTGCCTCTCCTTGTGGCTCGAGGCAGGTTACAGTATAATTAAAACACATGCTTCTGGAATATGGCCATATAGCCAGTGATTCCGGCCATGAAAGCCTTCGACTACACATAAAACATATAAACACTGAAAAATCCCACAATACACATATGAAAATGTATTTCTATAAAATAAGTATTAAAATACACAAAATGTAGACCAAACATAGGACAATTGTTTAAAATTCATGTTTAAAAACTGCCATTAAGTAGGCCTGCCAGAAGAAATGTCTTTAGATGGTTTTAAAATTCCGACAGCTCATTTAGCTGTCAGAGCTCTTCTGGCACATTGTTCCACAGTCTTGAGACAGCCAATGAAAAGGTCCTCTGGGTGACGGCCACCAGTCGGGGTCTTTTTGGTTGGAGCAGATGCCCCAAAGTGTTCAGGGCTGATTGTACTGGAGAAGGCGATCCTTTAGGCTAAAGACGGTTGAAAACTACAACACCGGGATTCTATAGCATTGAGCCACAGTGGTTAAAGTGGCGTCCAACTGCATTAATTCTACTGTGTCTTAAGAGCAGTGGTTCTCAACCTTTCTAATGCCATGACCCCTAAATACAGTTCCTCATGTTGTGGTGACCCCCAACCATAAAATTATTTTTGTTGCTACTTTAGAACTGTTATTTTTCTACTGTTATGAATCATAATGTAAATGTATTTTTATTGTTACAAACTGAACATAATTAAAGCATAGTGATTAATCACAAAAACAATATGTTTTGGGGAGGTTGTACAATAGATGATGGGATCTGCAGTACCTTCAAACGATTCAGCTCTGGCTAGATTGGAAAGGGGAAAAAGGTCTAACCAAAAAGGATTGGAGGGAAAGAATACGAGAATATATGCTAATGGTCAGACTAACTTATAACAGGAGGAATAAGAGTAATGAGGACTTTTTAGAAAAATGGAAGTTGGCCATGGCATATCTGAATAGAGAGTCAGTAATATAGAGGAGCTCCATTAGGAATTTAGGTTTACTATGAACGAGGACAGATAAATAGCCTTAAAGGCTTCATAGTGTTTCGGTGTGGGAAGTCATGGTGAAGGGTGCACGGGTGTGGGGATGAGGGTTTATTTTGTTTAGGATAGGGGTTTTGGGATGAGTGTAAGGTCTGATGTGTGTAAAATGCCATGTGCTGATTTCCTGAATGTTATGGAAAAAATTTAATAGAAAGCTTTGACTGAAAACAGTGGAAAACAGGCAGAAATAGCAAGTCAATGTGTATTAAGATATGTCAATGATAATAATTTGTAATTAATGTCAAAATTAACTGATTGATTGAATAAGGTAGATAGGCATGTACACGTCAAAAATATTGGTACCTGATTATATCTGCCATGATTTCCTTTTCTGTTATGTACCATAATCAAAATAAACAGTTTTAACAAAAAACAAAAAAAAAAAACACAGTGAAAAAAAAAAAGATTCAGCTCTGACTTCCACAGACCTGGATTGCTCGGCTCGGGGGGTTTCAGCTGGGTGACCCAGGCCGGCCCTGTGGGTAGCCATTTTGAGGAGGGGGGCAGAACCAAAGGAGGTGGCCTCACGACCCCTCCAAAATGGCCAAGCGACCCCCCTGGGGGGTCACGACCCCCAGGTTGAGAACCACTGCTTTAGAGGGTCTGATCAAGGATCTGGAGAACAAGTTCTATGAAGAGCAGCTTAAAGAGCTGGGCATATTTAGCTTCAGAAGAGAAGGCTGAAAGGAGACATGATAGCAATGTATAAATATGAGAGGGGAACTCATAGGGAAGAGGGCGCAGGCTTGTTTTCTGCCGCCTTGGAGACTAGGGCGTGGAGCAATTGCTTCAAACTACAGAAAAGGAGATTCCACCAGAACATTAGGAAGAACTTCCTGTGAGAGCGGTGTTCAGCAGTGGAACTCTCTGCCCCAGAGTGTGGTGGAGGCTCCTTTTTTGGAGGCCAGGCAAAGAAACAACTTTAGTTTAAATAAAAAGGAAAGAAAGCAGAAAAGGAAGAATGAATGGCGATCATAAGAGATTAAGAGCAATGCAGGTAACTGTATATGCCAGGCATGGGCAAGCTTCGGCTCTCCCTCCAGGGGTTTTGGACTTCAACTCCCACAATGCCTAACAGCCTCAGGCCCTTTCCTTTTCGCCCTCAGCCGCTTAAGCGGCTGAGGGCGAAAAGGAAGGGGCCTGAGGCTGTTAGGCATTGTGGGAGTTGAAGTCCAAAACCCCTGGAGGGAGGGCCGAAGCTTGCCCATGCCTGGTATATATTGTTCAGCCCACTCTGACCCACTTGGCCCAGTCAACACTCTCTCAGCCTCAAGAGGAGGCCATGGCAAAGCTCTTCAGAACAAGCCTCAGGTCGGGAGAGGCTTGGAGCTGCACCACCACAACAACAGCAGCGACAACAACTACGGGGCAGCGTCGAGGAAGGCCGGAAAGAGAAGGCGGCGGCGACGGCCCTCCTTCCCTCCCGGCCTCTCCGCTCCCCATCCCCGCGTGGAGCCGAAGCAGAGAAGCCGCACTCACCTCAGCCCGGTTGCCACCTCTCGCCGAAAGGCCCAGGAAGGGAAACGGGAGATTTCGGCTGCGGAAACAGAAGACAGCAGCACGGAGTTTCCGTCTCCGTCACAGCTGACGAGCGAGCGCCTCGCAGCCGCAGCTGCTAGAGAGGCCTCGTCTGGAAAGGAAGGGAAGCGGCCGCCACAGACAGCGCCTCCTCCGGCCGTGCGCAAAACTGTACTGAGTTTTAGGATGCAGCTACACCAGGCATCCTCAAACTGTGTCCTCCCAACTGTTTGGGTCTCCACTGACCACTGAACAAGCTGGCTAGGGCTTTTGGGAGCTGAAAGTCCAAACAGATGGAGGGACACAGTTTGAGGATACCTGGTTGAGAATTAACACAGTGTATTCTCAATGTTACGTAGTCTTTAGTACTCTTGGTAAAGGCTAAAGACCTTGTAAAACTACAAATCCCATGATTCCATAGCATCGAACCATGGGAGTTCAAGTGGAGCGAAACTGCATTAATTCCACAGTGTAGTAAAAAGGTAAAGGTAGTCCCCTGACATTAAGTCTAGTCATGTCTGACTCTGGGGTGTGGTGCTCATCTCCATTTCTAAGCCGAAGAGCCAGCGTTGTCCGTAGACACCTCCAAGGTCATGTGGCCGGCATGACTGCATGGAGCGCCGTTGATCTACTCACATTTGCATGTTTTCGAACTGCTAGGTTGGCAGAAGCTAGGGCTGACAGCGGAAGCTCACGCCGCACCCCAGAATTGAACCTGCGACCTTTCAATCAACAAGCTCAGCAGCTCAGTGCTTTAACCCACTGCGCCACCGGGGCCTCCCTCCACAGTGTAGTAGATGCACCCATAGTGTCAATTTTTTTCCTATTCTGACTGCTGGGAGGGGAAAGGTGGCTACTGGTTCACAAGTGCCCTCTCCTCCTTAAGCCTTTGCTTCTGCCTGTATTCATTTTGGGGAAGATCCCAACTAGTTAGTGTCCACCACTTAGAAGCAGGGAGAGGTCTAAGGCAGAACTGCCCTAAAGAGGCTTGGTCCCTTTTAACATTGCACAGAGTGCAGCAAATGTTGCTTCCTCCATTGTGTTGCCTGGATTTCAAAATAGTATAAGGGACACTTAAAATTTATGACATGCATGATTTAGATCAGCGATTCTCAACCTGGGGGTCGGGACTCCTGGAGGGGTCGCGAAGGGGTGTCAGAGGGGTTGCCAAAAGACCATCAGAAAACACAGTATTTTCTGTTGGTCATGGGGGTTCTGTGTAGAAAGTTTGGCCCAATTCTATCATTGGTGGGGTTCAGAATCCTCTTTGATTGTAGGTGAACTATAAATCCCAGCAACTACAACTCCCAAATGTCAAGTTCTATTTCTCCCAAACTCCACCAGTGTTCACATTTGGAAATATTGAGGATCTGTGCCAAGTTTGGTCCAGATTCATCATTGTTTGAGTCCACAGTGCTCTCTGGATTTAGATGAACTACAGCTCCAAAACTCAAGGTCAATGAGGAACTGTATTAAGGGGTCGTGGCATTTCGAAGGTTGAGAAACAGTGATTTAGATATTTAACGAGCATACAATGGGCTCTTGCAGGGCCTCTAAGGCCCTTCTATGCTGCCATATAATCCAGATTATCAAAGCACATAATCCACATTATCTGATTTGAACTGAATTATATGAGTCTACACTGCCATATAATCCAGCTCAAAGTAGATAATCTGGATTTTGTCTGGCAGTGTAGATGGGGCCTGGGGATCTGAGAAATGTTGGGAGACTACAGTAGGTACCGTATGTCTCCACATCAGCATAGCTCTTGGTGGAAGTCAAAATCAAAGTTTGCTTTTGCGAATTACTCTAAATCTTTTTGATGCAGAACCAATGGGCAGAAAGGGCTGCGTGTTTATGCTGCCTTCCTCCTGGCGTGGAACCCAAGACAGCCTACAAGAAATAAGGCAAAGTCAACTGAAAGCATAACACTGACATCATAACATAAAAATCGCCATATTAAAATTATAAACTATTCAATTTTTTTAATGCTAAAACTAGAGTAACCGCTCATTTCCACAAGAAAGCTTTCTGCAAGCAAGTATTCCTTAAAAACCTGCCTGCCTAAGAAAATATTTGCTAGCAAAAGGAGGGAGGGGATCTAGAGATACTGGTAGTTCTGTATGGCATAGACAACAGGAAGGAGCAAAATTCTTGCTTTGTTTAAATACCTAATCGGCATATTGTTTAGCCATAACGTTATTGGGCGGCTTGGGTCTGTAAGACGTTCATGATTTAAAGTGCAGATATTCTCCACATCCATATAGTACATGATGCAACATACTTCTGTCTTTATTAGTGGCATCTTGGTGAATTTAAACAAAAGGAAAACTTTTTCACCCCTGCTAGTCTTTAATAATACAGTGTGACTCAAAGTGGTAGCCCCTAGACTGGAGGTGGTCCCTTTATGTCTAATATTATGATTTGATTTATGGTTTGTTTATTAGCTTTTTTGGTAGCACTTTACGGCAGTGTATGTTTGCTGCTGCATGTTGTGAACTGCCCTGAGTCCCCACTGGTGTGATAGGGTGGGATAGAAATAAAGTTTTATTATTTATTATTGACTGGTGATGTTCCCTGAGGTGGCGACTGTCAGTCCCTTCCAAATTTCTAACAACAATTGCAGTCACTAAGCACAAATTTAGTGCCATTTTCTGGCCCACTAGGTGGGATTGCCAGTTCTCTTCTTAAGATAGGTTGAGAAGCCCTGTAATTTTTTTTAGTATGTCAGAAGTGACGAGAATATACTGCAAGTTGCTTCTGGTGTGAAAGAATTGGCCTTTTGCAAGAACGTTGCCATGGGGACACCCGGATGTGTTACTATCCTATGAGAAGCTTCTCTCATGTCCCCGCATGAGAAGCTGGGGCTGACAGACAGGAGCACACCACATCTCGTGGATTTGAACTGCAGTCCTTCAGGTCTTTCAGGGCAGCAGTTCAGCTGGCACAAGGCTTTAACGCATTGCACCATCGTGGCTCTAGCCCTATAATAAGGGATTGCCTTTCTTTCTCCTGGATTTCTTTTTGTGGCAGATCCTGCTGGCCAGTATCTACCGGGGACAATTTTCTTAGAACTGGCCAATGCCATTTTACCTCCTGAAGTGAAACAAATGGTGCCTTCCTTGCCCAGGTGAGGTTGAATTGCACCCAATAGCAGCCCATAACTCCCCGCCCCCCCCACCCTCAATGGTCCTTCTGCATTAGGGCCGCATGTTGATGATTGGTTTCTGCCACAGGCTCATTGCCTATAACCTACGACAACTTGCAAATTCCCAATGCAAGTGTGTAACCTATATGCAATGGCTGTCTTCCTGCAGCTATGTGCACAAAATATGAAATCAAGCATGATAGCAGGGAACAGAAACATGTATGTGGTACCAATACAGTATCTGCACTTTATTTCTGCTAAATACAACCTGTGGCCCCATCTATATTGCCATATAATGTAGTTTAAAATTGCATTATATAGTCAGTGTAGCCTCAATATAATGCAGTTTAACTGCATTGAACTACATGACATGAGGATACACTGACCATACATACATCACAGTTTCCAACTGCATTGTGGCAGTGTAGATGAGGCCTGTGACAATAAGAAAGAAAGAAGAAAAAATTTCAGTTTATTATTGTTATTTACTTTTATCCCTCTTTTCTCCCACAATGGGACTCAATGTGGCATATAAAATAGGGGGGAAAAAGACAACAACATGATACAGAAAACAATCTTTCCACCCATCAAATCATCCCACCCATCCAACATATAAACAATAAATCCAGAAATTGCATAAAACACACATTACATAAATATAAATGAACATGAAAACAATCACATCTATCATTATCATTAAAAAACCCCTGCACTTCAGGCCACTGTGATGGTCCTAACAAGTTAAAACATTAAACATTAAACTAAAGGACTCAGAGCTCCAAGTCTTTGGCTTTGTGAGTCTTATCTAGCTGAGATAGCTGCTGTTGTGTGTCTAGCAGCTTAGGAGTACTTAGGAATTCCACAGGTAAGTTCTGGCCATGAATTCATTCAATTTTTAAAACAGTAATTGTGCCAAATCAACAATTAGCGAGTGCCCAAGACATTTTCCTGACAGAGGCTTACATAAATCAAGATAATTATCTATCATCCAAAGACAGTCAAGTTGTTTTGGCACCACAAGCGTCTATCTCAGCCTCTTGTATTGAGATATGGCAAACCCACAATAAATAGTATCATTTGCCAGCTTTCTGTAATATCCAAAATCTGCCATGCAAAGCAATCAAGTAGTCTGCCTCATATTAGTGTCAGCTTTGCCAATGGTCCCGAATAAAGCAAAAGTTATTCAAAACAGTTAGAGAAGAGTTGAGAAGAGTGTAGGAAGCTACTGCTGACTTGGAATGCTGTGCAGTGTTACCTTATCAAATGTCTTGTACACATGTTAGTTTTCTAAGGCATGTTCTGTCATTTAGTTGCACAGTTACAGTGCAAACAAAATTGTGATGGATGGGGCAAGTGAGCGGAACTGTTTGACAGTAAGAGAAATGACTATTATACAGGACAACAGTGCCATCTTGTGGTGCTTCCAAGCCAAGAAAATTCTCCGTGGTAGACATCAAAACAAAAACCTGCAATACATAGATATTAATGATAAAATATATTTAAAAACACCGGCAGTTGATAAAAATTCATCTTATGGAATTAAAATTATTATGTTTTTAGTTTATAATTTGCTTTTTGAATGTTCAAAGTGCTTCATGTAACATAATCTTTACACGTTTGGCAAATTAGTGTAAAATTCAGCAGGCCATGGCAGCTCCAGTTGACTTGTTGTTTGTTCACTTTGGCATTGAATGTTTGTCACTATTACTTTTGTTGTAAACTGCCTCGAGTCACCCTGAGGAGATATGGCGGTATAAATAAAAATGTAATGTTCATTTGTGGGATTAACATAACTCAAAAACCACTAGACGAATTGCAGCCAAATTTGGACACAATATACCTAATAACCCAAGGAGTGACCATCACTAAAAAAAAAGATTTTGTCATTTGGGAGTTGTAGTTGCTGGGATTTATAGTTTACCTAAAATCAAAGAGTAT